GGAACATCTAATGTCTTACCTTCAAAAGGAAAGGATCCTCGATTAGTGGAGAACCCCCCGAAAATTCTTCTTAAAAAGAGCGATAGGGATGATCTTCGAAACTCACATCCAAACAATTCCGAGAAATATCAGGTTTGGCGAGAGTACCGCCTACCTCTCGCCCTAACCGTGTGAGACTCATGCTAGATTGACTATGAGAAAGCGTTTGACCGCGTCGAGACTAATGTCTGATGTCTTCTTACTTATATTTCGGGCGTTCGATGAACATGAAGAACGATCTGAAAGAAGAACTAAACAAGAGGCCAAGAGCAGCTTGGGCCGTCGTCGGGCCCCTAAAGGAAGCCACAGATCAGCTGACGGCCCAGAGCTCTGAGCCCATCTCTTCGATTCAACTGCTCTCGCTGCGCTCAGCTACGCAGCAGAGACGTGGCCTGACACTGTGGCTACGTCAAAGGCTCTCCGCACAACCCACGAAGCTCTCGACGTCTGCTGAAGTACAACCGACGCACTCAACATCTCGTCGGACTTCGCAGTTCAGAAGATCAATGTCTCGTCTTCGCGACCAGCGGAATACATCTCTAAGACAAACCATCGATGAGCTGATCATATAACGAGAAGGACAGACGACAGATGGACTCTAAGAACTTTGAATGGATCCCTCGCGAAGCAAAACGTCTGAGGGATCGACCAGATGGGCTGACGTATTCGTTGCACGGATGGACCAGCTGAATTCAACGTTCAATGGATCTGTACCTCGTAAACGTCGCCGCCGCAGCTTTGAACCAACATCGCGGATGACGCTAGCGGGAGACAGAAGCAGATGGAGACATGCTGTGGTCTGCATGACAAGTGAAAACAGGCTATCTTAGTAGCTAAGTAAGTTATGCTTGTATCTACGCATGACACTCTTTCCACTCTTTCCACCATGAGCTATCAAAGGCTTTCACAGAATGTGGATACGCTGCAGCAACAAGAGCGGACTTACTTTTGTTAGCCTTTACAACCGCAGGCAATAAGCGAGCTTTCATCAAGGTATAGGAGGGAGGGTTTTCACC